GCGAGATCATGCTGCCACGCAAATCTTTTTGTACAATCGCACGCTTTTCCAAGGCGAGCATCTACCGCCCTCCAATGCAGTCCTGCCCGCCGCACCGGTGTCGGGGTATTGGGCGGCGAGGAAAGGCCGCACCACCTTTCCATTCTCCTTTAAACTTCCCACGTCTGCCCCATCATCGGTAGCATTCGCTGCCAACGCCTCGCTCAGGTACGTCATCAAGGCGACATCACAGACTTGGTGGAATGATCAAAAGACGCTGGTCACCGCAAAGATGGACGCACCCGTGGTGGAGCGATGGGAAGATGAATTTTCTGAAGCGTACTCCGAGCCCATCGAAGCCGTCGCAGACACGCGATTGTTCATGGGAGGCAACGGTGCCGTCTGGCTCGAGGCTGGCATCACCGAACAGCTTCACACTGCCGGATCATCCGTGCTGCTGCGCTGCGGTGTCAAGAACAACACCAAGCGACACCTCTCTGGCTTGAAAGTCGCTGTAGCTCGCAGACTGAGCTTTCCCGTATCTGGTCCACCCGGCCAACCGGCCAAGCGACCGTCTCTAGAACCTCAAATCACCGAGGTCATTGACACTCAATCGTTCAAAGGGCCTGCTTACGAATTTCCCGCAGGCGAAGAGGTGGTGGTCAATCTGGCAGTCGATCTTCCGCGTGACGCGCGAACCATTCGCAAGACGCGCCTGTTCGAAATTCAGCTCTTCTTGGTGGTCAGCGCTCAGATGGGCAATTTCGCAAAGGATTTATCTGTAGAGGTGCCGTTCTACTGCGCTCATGCTGCAAGTCTCCAGAGACCTGCCTCGAACAATCTCGACGACTTGCATCGACGGCCTTCGCACGCCCACTGGCAACAGCAGCACGCTCATCACCGGGGCCATTCAACAGCGCAAAGACCTCACTCGTCCATGGGTCAGCACGGCTCTCACCAAGCATTCCCCCAGCGAGCACCTTCCCGCGGGCCCCTGCCTCCTCCTTCGCCACACATGTTTGGTCAGCCTGGTGCTTACGGTTCGCCGGAAATGAACGCCCTTGCAGAGTACGGAGCTCAGCGAGGCTGGTCTCCTGCGCCTGGAGTCATGAACGTGGGACCTCCCAGCAGGCCGGCTTCCGCTGCGCCCGCTCCACCCGTCTCTGGATACGCTGGTCAGCTCGTCGCCGCCTCGCCCCATCTACCGCACGCACAACAGCAATATGCATGGGATCCCAACGCCCAGGGTTGGACTGCCAGCACGTTCCTGCACGGCATCAATGGCTTGCTTCCGGGATCCACGCCGCCCGCGCCGGATCAATCATTCGCTGCTGCGGCAATTCCTCGTTCGGCTAGCGCTGCACCGAACGTCGGCGCTCAAATGAGCGCTTGGAACAATTTCCCACCAGCACATCTTCAAGCCAGTCAGCAGTTGCAACAGGCCCCGCCGCACCGTAGCGTCTCCGCCTCGCCGGGTCCTGAAGCGCAAATGAGTCGGCATGCAGGCCGAAGGGTGAGCGCACCTGCCGCTGGCGGTAGCTATCTGGCCCCTGGACCCGAGGCTCGGGACATTCCTCCTCAGCACCATCAGCAACAAGTACCGAGGAACATTTCTGCGTCCCCTTCCCCCAACATCCTGCACACCCCTCAGGCCTCCTCGCCGTCTCCTCTGGTCTCTTCTCAGATCTTGCACGGCGTGCCCGCTCCTGCCAACGATGGCCACAATGTGGAAGGTCTGCCTCAAGATGCGCCATTGGCGGGTCTGGCGACGATCGAAGAGGATAACGAATCGATGGCTGGCACGGTGCGAAGCGTCAAAGCTCTGGCTGGCTTTGCTAACCTGACCGGGAGCGGGAGCGTCACCAGAAGGGACGTGGACGCGTTCGAAAGGATGGTGAATGGAGACGGCGACGTTGCCCCTGCTTCGGAGCGAGAAAAGGCCATGATGAAGAGCATGGGAATGGTCCCAGAGGACGCTGCTATCGCTGTCAAGACCGCACCCGATGCGCACCCCACAAGCGACGCACGCACACTCTCCCAAGTGGTAGAGGACGACAAGAGCTTGCCAAAGCCGCCGATTCCTTCGGGTAAAGACACTGCCAAGGCAGCGCCAAGACCCCGCGCGAGCGATTTGTTCAATGCCCCGCCTCAAAGCCCTAAACGGGGCGCCTCATCTGAGGCTATCGCAGCAAAGAGCTCGAAGCTTGAGCCAGCAACGAGCGGTAGGAGGTCATCCCAGGGCATCGCGCTCAACGCATTGGAAGAGAGGCTCAAATCTCCGGCTCCCACTAGCCCCACCGTCCCTCAGAGCACTACGCTCGTCAACGTACCGCGCGCTTCTGACAGCAATGTCACGAGCGAGCGGAGAGAAAGCGGAGCACTCCGAGCAGCGGCGGCTGCCGCCATGGAGCGCGAGAGGGCTGTTCGAGAGCAGAGCGCAAACTCTTCCGCCCTTTCGACTCAAAAGAAGAGTGCCGCGTCAGACCGTGTCGTCAGCGCTGCTCGGCCGACCGCAAGCGCTTCGACCACCAATACTGCTGACGCCGAGCGCCGGCGACGCGAGAAAGATGCCGCGCTGAGGGAGGCCGAGGTGCGCGAGAGAACAAGGCAGAGGGAGGAGCGCGAGAGAGCGGCTCATTTGGAACGGGAGCGAAAGCTGTCGGAATCGCGAGCTGCCGACATTGCGAGCAAGAGCAGCAATGCGCCAGGCGAGCGCGATCGCGATCGTGTAGGATCTAACCTCAGTCTAGACAGGAGCGCCTCGAGCAGTAAAGGTGTGCCGGGCAATGTCCGAAAGGAGGTCGATCTGGATGAGGTCAGGCAGCTGAACAAGATGGCGGTCAACCGGGTCGGTGGCTGGCTCACCGAAACGCCCGCTTCCAACGCTGGATCTTCCGCAAACATCGCTGCGACTGCTGCCTCGGCGCCTCTAGGCGCTTGTGAGCCCGATCCTGGACCCAAGACCCCGCCACAGTCTTATCTGCGCGACGTCGACCATGAAAATGCAGCCTCGTCGACCATCTCTCCGGCGCTGCGCGCCCTCATCGACAGCGCGCCCCAGAGAAGCGCGCCGAAGCCCGGCACCGCGATTTTGACTCAATCCGCCTCTAGACGCTTTTCGGGCGGATTGGCAAACCAAAAGGCAGACTCGAGCGAGAAAGCCGCAGAAGGCACGTCGGCTTCGGCATTGACGGCCAAGCCCTCTGCGATCTCTGCTAGGAGTCGACGCACCTCGATGCCAGCTGTCTTGGCAGCTGCACAAGCTAGCCGAACCGCCTCCACATCATCAGCATCCCCTCGCAACATCGAAACGGCCAGCGTCACGTCTTACACCAAGCTGGCGGCACAGAATGACAAGATCGTAGCATCTGCGATTGCTCCGCCAGCAAATTCGGCCCATGTGCCTGGAGCGACGGGCCTAGCAGCGCGCAAGTCGATGCTGGAGAAGAATTACCAGTCAGACGCCGCTGGCTCAAAGTCTGCTGCTCAGGGCTCAGCAGCCCTGCCCACTTTGGGAGCTGCTGATCGCGAAAGAGGAGGCAGAGTGATGAGCGTTGCTAGCATGTGGGCCTCTATCGCCGAAGGCAAAGATGGCAGCAGCACGAGCTCCGTCGCGTCGACGTCGACGTCGACCTCGACGTTGAACGCGCGGCCAAAGGCGAGAACGTCGACTGCCGGAGCGCCTGCGCTGGATTTCAGTACAAACAAGACGAACGTCGCCGCGCCGATCGCCATCGAATCTGACCTGGCATCCAACGGCTCTCGACAGCCAAAGAGCCCTGCTCTCAAAGCGACGCGAGCTGCCGGTTTCATCAACACGACAATGCCTCGACCCGTCTTTTCACAAGCGTGCGCCAGTACTGCGTCTCATAGCGCACCTAGCAGCAGCAGCGCGCCAACAGCTGCCTTGGACAATTCGACGCGCAAAGTGTTGCCTGGTCACGTCACTGGAGCGGAAGATAAATCCGGTCAGCTGCGAGCCTCTCGGCAAGACATTTCGGACCGCGTCGTCTTTGAAGCCAAGGTAGGGGCTAGAAAGACGCAGGAGGAGGCCATGGCTGTGGCTGTGGCTCGTGCCAATGACGACGACCAAACGTCGGGCAAGAAGCTGCCAAAAGTTTGCACGTCGCTGGAAGGGAGGGGTACGACCAGACCGATTGGAAAAGCTCGCATGAACGATCTCAGGAGCATGTGGGAGCAGTAAGAGGCGGCATTTCGCGACTCGTCGTCCCTTTGCTCTCTCTCTCTCTCGATATGGACAATGTTGCATCTCGCACGAAGTTTGTGACTCTTTTTGCTTTATTTGTTGTTTGGAATAATCATCATGTCTTGCCTCTGGAAACTCCACACTGCGATCGATTCGCGAGCCGTGTGGATCTCTGCAGCTTCTGCTGGACACGTGATGGAGTATGCAAAGTGCGGCGGATCATTCTTAAGCAGGCTCCGGTCCGAGATTTTTTGCCCTAGCGCGCGGTGCGAGCGTGTGAGGAGAGCGGCAATTAAGGGCGCGCTTGTGCGTGCGTGCGTCCGCTGGCTGCGCGATCATCCATCCTGCTATAATAATGTTGTGCGCTGTGTGTGGCTGCTGCGCCCCCCCCCCCCCCCCCCCCCCCCCCCCCC